TTTTGCAAATAAAAACAGCCTCCTACCCAGAGAATCTTTTTTTTTTTCTCATTGACAAACCGAACTACGAAGTGATGGGAGGCTGGCAAAACATTCCTCATGAACTATTTTTTTTGGTCGCCAGCTTAGCTCTGCTTACTTAGTCCAACATCGCCTTCCTCTTGATCCAGCTCATTTGGAGGCTGATGGTGGAAGATGCAGTTTATCAGAAGTCCAATGTGGCTCAGAAGGATAAATGGTGGAGGCAGCCATGGCTTCTCATGGTAGGTCATAATGTAGCGGTACCGGTTGTACTTCCAGAGCTTATTTGATATGGATTTCAAATCAAAATAAACATTACTGAGAAGAGAGATAGAGCGGAAAGAAGGGTGAAACACTCCTGCGAGGAATACTCCCAATAGAGCACAAGATGTTTGTCTACAGATCTAATTTGACACTGAAGAAAAGTCCCATCCCTCCAGTGAGGTAAATCAGCTTAGCAACTTTCATTTAACACAGCAGCAGCATGTGCCTGGAGCTACTGCACTGAGAATGAGATCTTCAAAGCTGCCTAACGGATTTGGAGATCCAATTCCCACTCACATTAATAGGAACTGGGCAAAAAATATCCCTGAAGTGGCTTTGAAATCTCAGCCAGATTATTTAAACATTAATACATAGCCTAGCTGAGAATTCAACATTGTCTGTCTCTTTGGACTAGATTAAATGTAGAAGTCAGGCTAAGGGAAGAGTACTAATAAAACAGTTCTGTGCAATCCCCCTAAACAAAACACTTGCTGCAACAGGCAGCTTGACAAACAATTCTTCTGCAGGGTACTCTTTGGAGCCATGATATTACTAAACATGACTGTTGTTGCACTGAATAGTTTTCCGTATCTACTATCATAAATCCATGTACAGGAAAGCAACTTTGTGGTCGCAGGCTCTGCAACTTCAGTTGCACCGTCATGGTACGCACCCAGTATATAATCACACAAACATGAGCTTTGCTTCTGGGAGCATAATTAAATATATTGCTCATACCTATTTTTGGTCCCACTTCTGGAACAATCAAATCACTAAGCAGAAGATTTAATATCATCATTGCTGAAGGTTTAAATCTAGAAATAATTCAACTTATAATTTCACAGCTGCATATTAAAAAAAAAATAAATTATGCCTTGCCACAATTTCAGGAAAGGGATTTCTAATTGGAAGTGGGAATACAATTAGTTTTGATCATTCATTTTTCTTGAATATTAATCACTACATTTCTCCATTTGAAATTTTTTTTAACCTACAGCTGACTTTTTCTTCACCAGAAATAGAACTCTAGGAAAAAATAATTAACTCCTTGGGTTAGACCACTCTTTACTAGTATTTTACAGAACTTGATCCACTACACGGATTTCCCTGTTAAAACTTGAAAGGTTAGAATTACTATAAAGACACTGACAAATTACTATAATGTAATATGAATTACTATAAAATTACTATAAAGACCCCTCCTACTCTGACAGCAGACATTAAAAAAGAGATAAAACCACTATATTTAGATTTCAGTCTAGAACACATCAACTTGCACCATATAAGAGGAATTTTCAAATTATTTCCTAAAGGAAGAGCATGGTCCTACAAAGTCATTATTCTCTTCCCTTGAATACCTTCTCCATCTACCTGCCAGTTGAAATCTTGGGCTATGCTATGATGAACAGGATAGCCCAAGACACTTTCAGCACAACAAATACAACTTTCAGGAACAAAGGACAAACTAATCTGGAGTTGAATTAATGCTGCTTGTTTGCCAGCTTGTTGTCCACTTTCAGAGAGTCAGATTCTGTTTAAATGGCAAAACAATGTAGGTGTCTGCTCACCATCCCGTTCCTCCCACCCTCTTGCTTCCACTGTGGTTTTTTTATTTAGCTTACTCTCACGGAAGATGGGGTAACAAACACCATCAACATGCCCCCTGCTGGGGCATTTTTGGTGAAAAGTTTTTGCGGAAGTGTTGGCAGAACATCTATTAGTTGCTTTTGCTTTGGTATCAATTTACCATGGTACCTACTTAAAGAAAGCAATCAGCAAGTTGACCATGATAATGTACTGCACAAAGAGGTAGACAGCCTGGAGGAATGGCGTAAGGAAGGAGCCAGGAGGACAGTCTTCATTGGTTTCACAGACTGAAAGTGAAGAACATACAGAGCATGATTAGAATGGAAATCAGAGCAAAGCACAGCAATGGCATGTGCTCTTCTTTTGCTCCAAGAAACAGAATGGTCCTCATTACTTTCACAGAGATACATTATTAATTTTCTGACTACAATGTCTATCTCCACTTACAGGAGATTCGAGACCTCTTTGTGATACTACTGCTCCATAGCTTCCATTGCAGTTCAGAAGCTATAGACACCATTTGATAGATACGAGTTCTTATGCCAGTCACCCTGACTTTCTGTTAAGGGGAAAATGATGCAGCTGAAATGTATTTTGGAGATGGCACACACTCAAGTGAATTGAAATCCAAATCTCTGATCTTTAAAGCAAGTGGCAAAGATTTCACTGACTCTGCTGTGGAAAGGACACAGCGCAAAGGCTACTTTATTAGTAATGGAGTGTTAGTCCTTTAGAGCTTCAGTAAGATCACATGTACTCATGTGCAAAAGGATATATGGCCACTAATATCTATAAGATGAAGCAACAAATCAAAGGATCCTTCAAACTGAGGGATCCTTCTTAAAGTTTTTAAATTGTTAAAATACTTTTCAGTCTTTATGATTTTTAATCAAATTTTAGATCTTTAATAAAATTTTAAAACACATTTATAAGGCAGCAGCCCTAAATTTGGGACATGTTCCACAGCATGAAGAGTCATTAGAAAAATCATAGCTTTATTTGGGAAGTGTCAAATTCAAAGGTTTAGCATTAATAACTGATTAAATGCATTAAACTGTGAAACTTAACACTGTGCTTTCATTAGAAGAATTATGACTTATATAATCAAAATACATAGCCATAATGTGACTCTTTCAGACATAATAATAGATGCAATACCTAAAATGATGTTAATGAATCAGGTCTATGCTGAACTATGTGTCTTAAATATATGTATCTATTTGCACACCCACTTTTCTATTTTAGGGACGGTTTTACTTGTACCCGTCACTTAGCAGCATGAGAGTGCCTTCCTTCTGTAATTCTGAAATACTTCCTGGAGTGCCTGTTCTTCTCTGTTACTAAGACAAGGTCAAAACCATAACCATTGGTTCTGTTTTTCCTGTGTTCAACTGGTTTATCTGTTTTCGAATGATGCCAGATAACTCTTACTCTGATGAAAAATATTTTTTTTCTTATTTTTCCTTTTTTTTGTTATCCCTTTATTCTTTCTTCCTTTAAGGCAACTTTGTAGTCTTCCCTCCAAGAGATCAGCAGCTTTGGATTTGCCTAATTAGAAATTCATTTCACTGCCAGATCCCCCGACCATGAACTAGCTTAATATTAGTTCCTATGTGCTTTTCTCTGAGCTTTACAATATACTTAATTTGAAAAGCTAAAGTTGAAGGTTTTAAAGCTTAATCTCTATTTTTAACAAAGAAACTAATATTCTCACCTTTATTCATGCAGTATTACTCGTTAAGGACATGTATATACTGGAATCAAAATTGTTTGAGAAAGAATGGACTCCGTATGTAGTCAAAACTCTAGCAGCTCAAAGCAGGTATGTTTCCGCACATATTAAATTCAAGGTGTTGAGCTGTACTGTGAAAATTACCTACCATCTATTTCTCCAGCATAGACCTCACCAAACATCATCCAGTAAGGCTGAAATACAATATCTCGTGCCAGAGTCCAAGAAGGAGGCTCTTCTGGTGAAAGGATTGCCTTTCGTGACACTCCAAAACTCAACAGGACTATGGCCATCATGACCACAATATAGAACATGTTTGCTGTCTGGAAGATACGTGTGCATGAAAGAATTAGCTGTGCTGATTATATGTAAAGGAAATACATTTTAAGGAAAAGTATCAAACACTGCTTTTCCAAATCACAACAGAGAAAGAGGGCTAATAATATGCTAAAGGAAATAAAAATATTTTATTTCTATGGCCTGGATTACCCACGTGTTTTGTAGAGGTTAAAGTCATCCTGGACCAAGAAGGGTACAAGCTCTACTTGCCTCTCAAGTACCTCTTAAGGTCTTAAGTAAGACTTGAAAAATGTAGACCTTATGATGGTGCTTTTCCTCAGTGGTATTTCCTCCAAACTCAGATCAAGGAATAGCAGTGAAAATTATTTTGCCTTCTAACACTGCATTGGAATTACTATGCAAGGCAGAATATAAAAGTATTAATAAGATAGTTCCCAATAACCGAGGGAAATTACAGTGGGAATCTGCAGATGTCCCTCAAGATTAGGCTGCAGTTCAGCAGTAGTTCTTATACCAAAAGAGAGAAAAAGATTAACTTTGATCTCAGAGAAATTTTGCCAGCTAAAATGGGATATAATTATTTGAATCAAAATGTAAAATAATAATGAGACAGTTTCCGGGAGCTAGGGGAGTTATCTATAGTAGTGAGCCTGTCTGCAAGAGACAATGATTTTTCTTTCTCCTATTATCAAGCTGGATCAGAAACTCAACTCAAATGCAAACTTTCTCTAAGGATCTAAGAAAAAATGGCTTTTGTGAATAAATTCAAATAATTAATAAATTAGAGAGAACTGAGATCTGATTATGGTCAACTTACAAGTACAAAAAGACATGGTATTTTCAGGTAATACGTTCACTGTGAATTAGGTGACCTCTCCTTTGACCATCACTCTTTTCTGTCACTTCGACCTGTACACATTACGTTAACTACATAACTATTTCTCCAAAGCATGATACTTACCATTTTCCCAATCATTGTCAGGTATGGGCCAGCATGCTGATTCACAGCGAAAAGATCAAGGAGTCGAGCATACCAAAATATTATATCCAAGCAGTAAAGTAGCCTCCCTGCAGTTTGAACAGGCGGTTTGGACCAGCGCAAGCCAAAACCAATCATAAACAGGATGATAGCTATAGAATCAGTAAAATTCCAGTATTCATAAATCCACACCTTCACTTTTTGGAGGAATTTTCCAGGTTCTGAGATAAATACCTGAGTAGAATGGGAGGGAAAGGGGAACAAAACAAAACTCCATTAAAATAACAGATACATTCTTTAACCTTTTCTGTCTGAGCAGTTTTATGATAATTGTGAATGTGTAGTTTTTTCCTCTATTTTTAATTTTTGCAGTCCCACGTACTGCATATTGCCATTCACTGCCAACCAAAGTTTATAATTGCTCAAGTATGCCACACCTAAGGAACGATTCTGAGCCTGAACCTGTTCTGTAAAGAGCAGGTTCCTCAGCAGAAAAGAGCAGCCAGTATAGACTTGTTATGTGTATATATCATTATAAATTAACAAGTGTTTTCTAAAGGAATGGTCATGACCTGCAACAGCCCTTTTGTAAGCCCCTAAGTCATGGAAAGTACCAACCTAACCTTGCTGATGGGAAAATAACTAATGTTTTTATTTCAGACTGAAAATATAAAGAAAGATCCTTATACTCCACCAAGGACATGCTAAAAAATGGAGTGCTGGCAACTAGCAAGGTGAAGAATGAAATGTTCACTCCTTGAACTGTGAGGTGCCCCAAAGAGATTTTAAGCTTCACTGAGCAAAAGTGTGAAGTGGAATCTTTGAGAGACCATAAATAAAACCTCTGCACATTACACAAGAGAAGCCAATTACGCAGTGCTATGTAAGATCATACTGATAAGTTCCAAGCTAAGGTGAGATTTTGAAAGGTTACACCCTGATCTTGCAAGAATTTATGCATATGAACACATTAATGTAAACAAATGAACCTACTCAATTCAGCTGGACTAACTCACACGAGGAACTAGTTGCAGGATCAGGGCCTAAGGCTTTAACAATTAGTTGATACAATCTAGAGAAATAGAGGTTTGCAGCTATATATAACAAGGCCCTCAGCAGTTAATTAGCTGCACGTGTAAGACACAGTGTCCTATAAAGTGTTTGCCAGCCGATCAGGACTAGTACATGTACAAAGAAAATCAAGTAGAAGACATGAATTTCAAAGTTTCCAATAAATGTTAATGTATAGAAGAGCTAATGTTTCCACCTCTCCACCATCAACATGATGCAACAGCACAACAGTGATTTCCAAAGTGCTTTTTAACTCATTTAGACAATTCTTGTGCTGATTTTTTTCAAGTTTATCTCATGCAGACACAGAATTTGTATGTTTATCCAAGCTTCATACCCAGCATTTCTGCTGTCCCTTGAAGTTCTTCACCTCTCTCATACTGATGCCACAGTCTTCTGAATAATCTGTTGTAACAGCATCCTTCACTTAGAACTGACTGCTTTTTTACATTTTATTCCTCTAAAAGTATAGTATGTAAAATATCATACAGAAGATAATTCACACTAATGTTGTTTACTATGTGCTGAATCAGTGAAGGTATGTTCAATAAGATAAAATAATGTGGGAAATACACAGCTGCATTTGTCTCCAACCTCAGTTTTGGAGTGCATTTGTGTTCAGAAGCTCAGATTTAATCAACTGCAATTAATTGAAGTTAATTTTTATTGGAATGTCATTTTTCCGTCCTCAATGAACCCAGTATTAAAAGGTGATGGTGTTTTTTTTTTCCCCAGTTTCGCTTTTAAAGGGTCAGTTAGACTTGATGAAGAGACATAGATCATTCTACACATTAACACCTATTAATTGGTAACAATGTCAGCATTCAGAGTAAATATCTAGAGACAAATTCCATATTCATTATAAGAAATCTAATGGTCCACTTCAAAAAAAAAATTAAACAAGTGCCTACACTGGGGCTCCAAATCTCAGTTCAGCACCATCACTCTCAAGCAACCTGTATCTTTCCACTGGCTTTTCACTGAACAATAGAGATTTAAGGACAAATTTTAAGATGCATTTTCAAAACTCAAGAACTGGTCTTCAAGTAGAAGACTTCTCAGACATAAATGTCCTGTATAATTCTTTCCTCTGCTAAATTCTCTACAAAAAGAATGGAGGATTTGCCATTCTTATTTTTCTCTCTGGTTTACAATACATTCTCTATAGGTGAAAAGTCTGAATGGAAAAGCTTACCTCCCTGACTTTTTCAATAGCAGTGCTGAAAATATAAATAATAACAAGCCACTCTTGCACACTTGGTCTTGGTTCCATCTTCACCAACACAGTGTAAGTGAAGAGCATGAGAAAAACCATGTACGCCATCTACAAAACACATCATATACAATCCATATGCACAAAAATCTCCAACAGATTTCTGCAAATGTATTAACAGGTAATTAGTCTGACTATATGGCTTCGAACTAGTGGGTCCTTCTCAGATTTTTGAGCCCAAAATCTTTCCTCCAGTTCTCCAAAGTATTTTTTATGGGAATATACTTAAACATTACTTGGAAATTGGTGCTTTAGTGCTGAAAAATGGGAGCAAAAGATGGACTATTGCAGCATATGTTCACCTAGGCTCCAAACCCATATATGAGACACACTCTTTTTATCTGTACACACCACTTGAATGCAAAGGCAGTGGTGTGCTTTTTATCCTAACCTTCTACAGAAGCAAGTAATCATTCTAATTGAATCACCGCTGGTTAATCAGTGCCTTCCAAAACACAGGAAGAACAATATCAGGTGGAAAGCATATATTTTAAAGGTATCACAACATGTTATAAATGTATCTGAGATACTAGATTAACAGGTTATAAAGCAGTTAGCCACACCCTGTTAAAGAAGCAACAGTTTATATATGTACATAGTGGTCTGACCCAACAGGCAGCCTTATCTTAAACATCCTAAGATCTACTGACACAGTGTTAACTATTAAAATTTATTTAATAAATGCATATTTCTCTATAGCAAATGGTCTCCTATAGATTAATATTCACTCCTTCAGAAGCAGCTCCTAAAGAAAGGGAAATTAATATCTGTGAGGTATTTAAGGCCAGCTTCAAATCTATCTCTACATGTGCAATTAACCACTGTAAAAAAAAAGCTGTGCTTGGGGTTTTCTTTAGTTCCTTTTTTTTTTTTTTGGTTATTTTTGTTATTTTTGGTTGTGTTTTTAATGCAGCTGCATGATTTTAGCAGAAAAACTTTTCACTTAATTGTGAGAGAAATATTCAAGTGTCTTCCCATCCACTCCCACCCCTAAGTGGCTGCAAATCCGTGCTACACAAAGTAAAAGTCACACTAAACGGTATTTGAAAGATTGAAGGAGGGTTTTGGCATTGCAAGTTCTAGCATGATGACCAACCGTGTGAAACCAGAACTTGACAATTGGTGCATTGTAGAACTCATAGATTTTCCTAGTGCCAGGCAGGTTTCCTTGTCCACCATCTACTTGGCTTTCATCAGACTTCTGAGCAACCTTCTCCACGTCATAATCCTTCTTAAAAAGGAAACAGTATTATAAAAGTAAGAAATCACAGTCTACGATTGCAAAGGTTGTGTCATGTTAAAGAGAAGACAGGCACAGATGCTTAAGCTTTGTTCTGAATACACAAACCATTACTGTAACTTGATTTTGTCTGGTTACAACCATCTCATCTGCAATAATCAACATGCACACTTTTGCACTATAAATACTCATTTAGAGTTTGCTTTATGACTGCAGGCAGCAGACTGGGTGTCAGCAGACCTGAAATGACTCCTGCTTCTGACACACATTTCTTTCAGTCCTTAAGCAAAGTCAATCACTCTGTCTCACTTTCCCCATCTGTGAAATACAGATGAATAACAGCTTCCAGTATGACATAACTGTGTTAGCTAGAACTCCACAGTTGCACAGAAAATGTCAAGGTAGTAAAATTCTAAATACAGAATCTAATTGCTATTTTTGACATAGTGTATGCCTGACTAGAAGATGACAATGAAATAAGTACTCTCTTACAAAGATCTGCCTACAAAAATGCAGTTAACTTCTTTATTACCTTCAGTAAAACAAAATGTAAAAAAAAAGGCAAACACACTTGAATCTGTATTCAGAGTTTGACACTTGTCTGAGTACCACTCTGAAAGTACGAATATCTGATTGCTGCTGAAGCCTAAGAAGTGCCGAAGACACACAGAAGTGGGCAAGTGACAAAACCGTAAGATGCTTAAAGGAGTTTTCAGAGATGAAGGAGGGAGGCCTGAGGAAACTATAAAAAGCTAATAGCAGGGCAAGGCTGAGGGAACCAAACTGCCTTGTTCGGTTTTGTTTCAATGCTGGCCAAATTCCTTGACTATTATCAATGCTAAAACTTACTGGTACTAGACATCTGTAGTACACCATTTTTTATGTGACATAGTTACCCACACTACTTAACACTTCCTTGGTTTGTCAGGGGAAAACTGGAGGGTTTTTCATCTCATTAGACTCAGAAAAGTGCTAAACTGGAGAATTTGATAAACAGAATCATCCTAATCCATTAACATCAGATCCTCCACAGTGAAGGAGAGAATTGTCCCATGAAAGAGTGCAATTTCCAGCTGCAGAAGGTTACTGAAACTCATGACTATGTGTGAATGATGCTCTATATGGCACATGAACACTGTTGAAATTGTCTGATAATTTTTCTATTATATTTCATATAAGAGTATTTAAGAAAATGCCATAGCTTGGCCTTTCATCTTAAACAACAATCTGTAATAGACAAAAACGTAAGTTAAGCTTATTGCTAGCCCAGGAAGGAAGCAGCCCTGTCTGAGGCAGGTCAGAAAAATGCTTACACACATTGCTGTGTTGCCTTCTATCAGTCCCCAGGGGTACTGCAAATTACAACTGGCTTGTCCTCTGTATCACAGCTTTTACCTAACCACATAAAAAGCAATTTTGAACTGACTGTATTAGAAAGGCACAAGAGGAGATAATGGCTTCCAGTATTTTTCTGCATCAGGAAAAAAAAGCACAAGTGTGGCATTGGCAGGCCTACCATGCTTCTGTGAAAGCCCCCAACAACAATCAGCTCTTTTTTATTTTGCACAAATTAAAAGTTAACTGAGGAGGTCCCAAGCTTATCTGCTGTAAGGTAAGCAGAACAGAGCAAAGAGATAGCCTGACAACTCTCACCACTTGACAATCCTGCTTTCACTGGTCAGCACCTCACCAACATTTACCCTTTTGGATGGCAATTCTCCATGTCTGCTGCCTACCTCAGGCTGAAAACTTCCGGAAATTTTCCGTTCAAGGAATGTTTTGTGGAGAATAAGAAAAAGAAAGGACAAGAAATTCTGCTTAGCAGAAGTCTGGGGGAATTCAGATCTTTAAAGGCAAAGACTTGTCCTGGAGACTCCCTACAGGAGACAGGCCTAAGAAGGACTTTTGCACAACCACAGGTCCTAGCAGAGTATTTCAGGACTCTGTTCAGGTGACTAAACCAAAAGCACAGAGTCTCTCTTGTGCTTTAAATGCCATCTCTGCTAGGCTCAAATGATGCAGAAGTAGAGATAGATACCCTGTTTTTTAACAAGGAGGGCAGGAGCTACACCTCTGGAAGGGCTATGATCTAATTCAGGAAACAGAACGTCAAGGATAAACTAAGAGCAAAGAACAACCATGGAGAGGGGGAGAGGCTGTGCTGAGATGAGGGACAGAGACTGCTAACCAGAAAGAGCAGGAGGAAGGAATGAGTTTGAGAGGACAGGACCTGAACTGCCTCAGTTCTGCTGTTTCCCTGCTTTGGACAGCTTGACTGGGCAATATGAATTGAATTGTATGGATGTGATTTTTTGTTATGATATGAAACCATTCTTTGATTATTTGATATACAACATTACATAGGTATTTATCTGCAGCTTGAATAGACTGTGCCCTAAAATACCTGTGTAACTGACAGATAATTATAATCTTATTATATTTCTGTGAGGTTGGGAAGGATTTTCTCATTATGACCAGTACAGAAGTGACACCCAGGAGATAAGTGACTTGTCCAAGGCCACTTCAGTCTCCCCAGCTAGGGATTAAACAGTTCTTGAGAACTGGTTCCTGACATTTCCAGCTGGTCACCTTCTCCTCACTTCTCAAGCTTATACGATGGTAAACAGAGATCCTGACACAAAAATGCAGACTAACCAGAGATGAGGCATCTTTAGAGCTGACTGGGCTCTGATCCCCATGATACCATGTGAACTGGTGGAAGTCTTGAGACTGAGGTACATGAGACATTTCCGCCTTGCTTTTAAACTCCAGCATCAAGATGGTGGGAGGCAGGAGAATACTCATAATGACCTAAAAGAAATATACGAGTTTCAGGAAATCAATTTAGCAGTGATACCATAGACCTCATACCATAGTCAGCCCTGTGTGGTGTCAGCACAAACCTAGGAAAATTCTCCTAGCCTGGGAAGGACTCACCGATCTAGGGAATCTCCTTACCACACTCCTACAGCCTCCAAACTAATGTGTTGCTCTTGACTGTTTTGTGGCTTTAAAGAGTGTCATGGTATCTGGGGATACTTTAGATACCAGTTCCTATGTCCAGAGAGCATTCCTCCCATCAGTAGCTTTGCCAGAGAACCAGCAAAGCAGGGCAGTGAGAGCAGGTGGGGAGTGACTGAAGGGTGCTGAGACAATGGGAACAGCAAAAATACCCTCAAAAAATACATTCTCCTAATGTCATCCTGCAGATACTTCTGTAAAGAAGTAAACCAGAAGCACGTATTGTTTTCCCTCCCTTTCTTTTCTCTTTTTTTTTTCTTTTCTCTGCACATTCCAAACAATGATTAAGCACATCTCTCTGAAGCTGCATTAGACATGTTCTTAACCACAAGACACGTACGAAGCATCTGAACAGCTAGACTTATGCTACCTTAAACCAGGAGTTCTTCCGCATCTTCAGGCGTCCCATCCACATATCAGTCAGCAGCATCTGTGTGCAAGTATGGGACACGAAAGGCCTCAGCCCCACAGACACTGCTAGTTTTAAGCAAGTTGAGTTGCTCCAGTTTTTCAGTTCATAGGTCAGCAACTTCATGGCCATCTGCTCATTTTGTTTGAATGCTTTCTCCAGCACATCTAAGGCAAGTTGCCCGAACTCCCTAGAGAAGAAAGAATTAACATTTCATACAACAGGGATCCCCTGAAACTCAGAAGCACTGCTAAAAGAGATTGGTTTAAGAAGTCCATTAATTAAAATTCAGCTAACAATCTCAATAGGTATGCATTCTCCCATTTTGTTTTATCAATATATCTAGTGAAAAATAATTTCAGAAGTAAACCTATTCACAAGATTTAGGGTCATCCTGTTTCCTGGAGTTTTATTTATTTTGTTCATGATCCCATTCAGCGATCAAAACAGTCCCTAGAAAGTTCTGCGTATTTCATTCAACAACAGATTCATTACCACTGTGGGCAAACATTGCATGCAGTTGCAAAAGCCTCTTCTTTGACACTGAGCCTTTAAACATCTCTGTAGGGAAGACTCCTCAAGGAAGACACATCTTCCTTTAAATTAAGCATTGTAGCTACATATAAAACAAGACAGCACATCTTATTGTACTCTGAGGCATGATGGCTGCAAAGCAAAAAACGTCATTAAGAAGAAAAACTACCAGAAAACACAAAGTGAAACTACAAACTTTAAGAAAGTTCTTGTCTACTTCATGTTTAATGCACTCAGTTATTTCAGCATACGTTTTTCTTTAGTCTTATACTGAGCAGGATTTAAGCACTAATTTTAGTTAGGTTATTACCACATGGTACAGGTTTGAAAAGTCCAACATATATGTGCCATATGGCTTTTTAGCAAGTTGAACTGGAAGGGAAGGTATAAGGAAAATTTCCATCTTCCACAACCATTTAGCAAACAGTAAGGCATGCATTACTCACTTATATTTTAGTTTTCAAAAAAGCTACTAGGTAACATGCTAATAGCTTTCCTTTAACTCTTGACCAGACTGCTATCTAGCTCCATTATATAATATGACTAGAGTGCAGCTGAAAGTATTTCTTTTACACCCAATAGTCCATGGCACCACTAACCTTACAACCTCTTAGTGGACTACAAAAATATCTAACCATTCTAAGCACTGCAGAAGATTATTAACTGAAGCAAAGGGAGAAGTCATACTTCGAGTACTTCTTGAGTTCTTCTGAAGTGTCATCCACCATGTTGCTCTGTTTAGCTTCATGTGCCATCGCCCTGTAGAGTTTACAAGCCACAACAGCTTTGACCATCGCTTCCTCGCCATGCTGCCAGAAGAACATTGCCATCTTCTGCCTTTTCATTAGTACTGCCCAAACCAGGAGGTCATTATAGGGGTATATAAAACCAGATGACTCATAGTTCTCTGCGAAGTTTATACCCTCTTTTGATTTCTTCTTACACTTATGGAAAGCAGTGGTTCTTTCCTATAAATTTGTTTTTCAAAAAAAGAGAATGTCAGTGAATGGTTGAACTTCACAGTCATATAAATAAAAATGCATGCAAGTCTGAATTACAAGTAGAGAAGCATTTGATCATTATGTATGTTTAAATCATAAACCACAGCTAGGATCACATTCAGATTACCAATGCTAAGAAGCTGGTAACGTTAGTGGAGGAAAAACACTCCCTGCTTTGTACCAATGTCATTTATAACCTTCCCTTCCATGGTGTTGGGAAGTTTCCAAATCCAATGTTACCAAGATCCCACTTCACTTTTTTCTTGTACTTTTGTCATGATAGAAGAAAAAACCATCAGTAGATTGAAATATATACAATGGGCCATGAAGGCTGCATGGTGACCTCATAGCAGACCTTCAGCCGTAGCTGCACGAAGCCTACAAGGATGCCGGGGAGGGACTCTTTGTTAGGGACTGTAGTGGTAGAACAAGGGGTAATGGCTTCAAACTTAAACAGGGGAAGTTTAGATTAGATATAAGGAAGAAGTTCTTTACAGTGAGGGTGGTGAGGCACTGGAATGGGTTGCCCACGGAAGTTGTGAATGCTCCAACCCTGGCGGTGTTCAAGGCCAGGTTGGACAGAGCCTTGGGCGACATAGTTTAGTACGAGTTATCCCTGCCCATGGCAGGAGGGTTGGAACTAGGAGATCTTGAGGTCCTTTGAAACCCCAACCATTCTATGACTCTATGATTATATGACTTGTCATACTTAAAGATGATTTTTAATGTCTTCCATATTTTTAATGTAAACTTGCTATATACTCATATCTGGATATTTCTCCATTAAAGGCAAAAAAATTCTTAGTGATATGTCAGGTATCTCAGTGCTATAATGGGTGCATTAGTTGGACTAATTCCAGCACAGCCATTTAAATTCATTCTACTTTATGTTTTGTCTGTCACATACATGTATGTGGCCATCTTTGCTCTTTTATCATTATTTCTCTGAAAGAAAATATTCTGTCACCATTTTCCAGATATAGATTCATAGAATCAACTAAGTTGGAAGAGACCTTTAAGATCATCAAGTCCAACCAATTACCCCAGTGCTGCCAAGACCACCACTAAACCATATATCACTGAGGGCCTCATTTACATGGTTTCTGAACACTTCCAGGTACAGTGATTCCACCACTTCCCTGGAAGCCTGTTCCAATGCCTGATCAGCCCTTCTGTGCAGAAATTTTTCCTAATATCCAATCTAAACCTTCCCTGGCACAGCAAGCTTACTGTAGCACTTTAATAAGAAACCATGAGAAAACATCAGGGAAGTCAGAGAATTCCTACCATTGCTTCCAAATAAGAAGAGTTTTCACCCACATGTTTCACCACATGTTCAGAAATTTGGTAATACTACATTTCAGTGAACAAACCCCCTTAGAAACAAATGGATGGAAGTTAAACAGTATCACAAGGAGCATCTGAGCTTGATTTCCCCAATAAAATTGCCAGACATACTTCATGAACAGCAAACAGTAAAACGTTGCTTCCCCTGGAATTTAAGCAGAATTATGATAACTAATAGCCTGACTGGCATGTGTCTAAAATCTCTCAATAAATTTAGTAGCAGCCTAATATGTAATAAGCAAAGTCTACAATAAGTGATTATATTACCTTGTATTTGTAAGGCTGTGCTGTTCTGAAGAACTGAGAATGCAAAGTACTTTCAGCAGATCCCATTCTGCTACCCGACTGATTACTCTGATGAAGTGAATGAGACAGGCTCTGGGAAAAGCTGGAAAGCACTCTCTAGATCCAAAAGCATACCATAAAACACAAGGAAAGAAATGCAAATTAGAGATTAAGTTTGCCTGGATTTATCTCTGATGGCAACGGTGTCTGTAGGAACTGATGTTATTTGAAGACTAGTGAGTCAGCAATTGCTGTAACTACCACTGCAGATTATGCCAGCAAGGAAAAAATACCCTGTTTCATATCTAATTTAAAATATATATATATTTCTGAATCTCTGAATTCAAAACACTGATTTCCCCAATAGCGTCCACCAATTACAACAACAAGAGGGCTTGCACCAGATTGGAATCATCCAACGTGGAAGGTCTTCCAAGTGCCTACCACAAAAAGCGCCACAAGTTCTCTAAAAGACAGAAGTTCTCTGAACTTTTTGCTGACCATTTCCTCTGAAGAACAGCACATATAGCATCTCTGAGCATTTTGTTCAGTGTTGACTCAGAAGGAAGAATTTTAAGACCTAAATCACTAATACTCTTCCCTGCAGTTCCTAGTTATATGATCACATTATATGACTTTAATCCATTCCTGTTAAGGTCATATTTCATGAGGATACAGTGAAGAACACTACAACTTCTCAAATACCTCTTTTTAAGCATTGCATTAAGCCAGTGACATGCAGAAACTCTGTCTCTATGTTTCTATTCACTTCAAGGAACAGTTTTCATTATTTGTTCCCATTTTCCCTGATCCCCCTGAAGTTCTTCTATTAGTCATGAAAGCAGTACATGGGGATAAGAGATTTTTGTTGTTTGTTTTTCAACATATGGAAGTACTTCAATCAAAGCCCAGTTCTGCTCTGACAATTGGAGAGAATTCTTATGCAGTAAATCCGCTCCCTCTGTGATGTTGGCAATGTTACTCGACTAATTTATTAAGAAGTTTAAGCTGTTTTCAAGTTACAGGTTTTGGAAAGCTGATGGGGAAAAGTTAAGTGCTAGTATGTTTGCACACTGTTGTTCTGAGGCACCTTGTTTGTAGAGGTGATGCTACTGATATGCAGGCATGGGACAATGCTATGCCATACGGTGAAAAACTTAAGCATCTAGAAGGTGCAGAATGGCATGCATGTCCAAGTACAACCCCTCTGCCTGCACAAAGCCTCTGGATGCAGCCTGGCACATCCAGCACGAGGCTTCCCCTGTGGTGACCAGTGTAACATGGAAAAATCTCTGCCAGGCAAACAGCTCACTGGCCTGGGCAGGAAGATGCACCACAAGCACTGAACTGCTTCTAAAAGGTAAGAGCTTTGCTCAAAACTAGGGTCAGGGATCTCCATGTTGCTCTTCACTATGCTGTGCTGGCATGCTCTAAGTCTGGGTCAATGCCTGTTGAATTCAGTATTTCTGCGACATGATTCAAGCTGCACGAGCAGAAACATGCAACTGCTTTGTAAAAGGGAAAACAGTGGTTGGTTCATCCTTGCTGATCTTTATTGATGGATGACAGACCAAGAACACAACCCGGCTACCAGACACAAAGGTAAATTTACTGAATAGTTAATTTAACAATCACTGGTGGTCTTGGGGGGCTTGGAGTAGCTTGGGGAGCGATTTGCCTGTTTTACTTGCAACCTCTCCACAGCTGACAAAGAAAGTCACAAAACAGACAAGCATGGCGTATATTTAGCTGATGCTCATCTGAAAACACAAACCACAATGACAACCTGAACTAGCTTCAGGTATGACATTTTGACTTTTCTTGGTGAACACTGGTTGCCATTTCAGAGAATTTACCTTGTGTTTTCTGTAGAGGTCATTGTAGAGAATTCGGAAATGCTTCCTTGTGTAGCTGCTCCGGTAAGCTCCACCAAGGAGGTATTCTATCACCAGCCCAATATCAATCAGTGATATCTTGTAATCCAAAGAAAGAGTATTCTGAAACACCAAATGTCACATTCATTTCATGATGCTATTATATGCATCATTCAACCATGTCAAAGCCCTATAACTATGAGGCGAGTCTGGAAAAAGATGCAACTGAGAGCTCCTGCCTCTGTCAGGAAAGCATACACATTCACTAGGCATATGAAAGTCCTCTAGGAGGGAGAACGCAGGCATTTCCACATTTTCAGCCTGAAAAGTGTGACATCTACTGCACCCACATCACACAGGGATGTATACTGCAATGTTCACAAGACCAGCTGCATTCGACAGTAAGGGTAATCGTTCTTCAGCTTAATTACCAACAGTCTTCTTCTTATAAAAAGAGAAAACTATCATGGTATGATTTGCCCATTAAACTAGTTCCTTAATTAAAAAGGAAGAAGCAGCTGAAGCATGTATTTAATGTTGTAGAGTAATTCCCGGAGACTGGTAATCTCTTATAGAGGCTCAAGACTGTCATGATAACTAGGACAGCAGCTACATGTGTATTAGTGGTATCTTCTAAGTCTCTCACTTCTGTTTAAAGCACTGTTTCTCAGTTTACCTGCATTGTTCTTCCAAGATACAAGGTTTGTGACAAATTCTCTGAAAAACAAATTATCTTTCGTGCAGATTTTAAGGATCTTTGGTAAAACCTTAAACCACAATTCCTGGAAGTGAAAAATGGGCTTGTACACAGATGCAGTCAGAGGCACTATGTATTCCTAACTGTGTATGTCTTTCAGACTGTGAAAAGTCATTATCTTCATTAGACTGAGATTTTTTTCAGTAGACTGGTAGCAAGCCTCAGTACAGCCAGCTAAGGCCACCCAGCCCTGGGAACAGAAGGCACCAACAGGCTGAGCATATTGGGGCAAAAGCATATCTCACAGGATAGAGCTTGTCAGCTCTGTCATTGAGAGTTAGGGAAGTATTTCTGACTACCTATACTTGTAGATACTTCTCTGCTCTGAAAAGCATTTTTCGATGCCATCAGGACAAAGTGCCATGTATCTCCATTCAAATGTAGCAGCAGCAAAGCTGGTAACAATAATGGGGAAAATACTCTGAAATCCACAGCCACACCACTCTGCTGACTGGCCCGGCTACTGTGTTACCATATTTAATGACTGCAACTGCACAACCCATACACAGAACATATACTCATACTTTCAGTAGCTCAGGTGAAAAAAGGCTTTTCAGCCTGCTTGCAGGTCCCAGGTGAGTTTAGCTTACCCAACAGCAAAGAAAGTTTTGAAATTGTGTACCCATTTTCTACGAATATTCCACTATTTCAATTCAAGTGCCAAAAGCTTCCGTTTTTAGATCACAACCTGAGTTTTCCCAGAGTGTCCTGATATGTAACCAGGTCACGGAGTTTAGGACAGGGGTCATATCAAGGAGCAAATCACTTCAGTATCAGTGAGAAAGACATATTTCTCAGCCTGCAAAAGTTCAATCCATTTTCAACACTGACGTCCTTCAGATCTATCACTTAAGACCTCAGATGTGCTCATCAGAATGAGAAAATACAGAAAACAGCTTGCTATGGAGACCAGAATACCCTACACCTATCTACCAAACCACAATAAGAAAAGTCGTACTAGAAATCACACTACTTGAGACCACCGTCTGCAAACAGTTGACTTATAATTTTATCTTAGCATTCATACCCAGGAAAGAATTAGCCAATTACTCTAGTTTTGGATGTAGACATCTCTGCAAAGGAGACTGGATGCAAAAAAGAACAGCTCATCCCTTCCTAGGCAGTGCTGTGATGTGAAATAGATAACAGAAACACAAAATAAATTAACTGTGTAGCTAAATAATAAAGCTGCTACTAAATTACTAATGGAGGCAGTGCTCCATGCAGTAGTCATCCACTGCCACCTTCTGTTCTCCTAGGCAATGCAGCACATCAAAATAATACTCTTTTGTCACAGTATCTTTTTGTTACTGCTCAGCAAGGAAAGACCTTTTTTAGCTTTGGGGAAAAAAAGACAACCTTAAAGGCATGAGCATAATTACGGCACTAATTCACTATGTGTTTTGTACAATCACTTGATAATGTCACTTTAGTAACTTCAGAAAGAGAATCTGATCTACACAAACTGCCTGGCTTTGAAATAAAGGTATAGGACCCTTTGGAGCATTAAGTAGTAGTATTCTAGTTAATTGCTTAGGGGGATCAGTGCGTTGAAAATAAAACCATTTAGTAGATATAGAGGCATAGTAATGAACCCATCACTTCTACTCCTAAAATTCCCATGTATTACTTAATAGTAGTGTGCCCAGGGACACTGAAGTTCTAAGCTACCATTTTTGCCCCCCAGACTTCCCTATGTCTATTACCTGTTTCACATCTCGAACTAGGTGATGCAAAAGTAGGTTTGATGGTCCTTGCTTCTGCGGTGTGAAAAGACAGTAAACAAACATCACTCTACATTAGAAAATCAATACAGTAAAATAAAGTCAGCTAAAAGATCTTCAGAATAAGCTCCTGTGATTCAAACTCTCTCCACTTGAATTCTCCCCACAAACCTCTTCAAAAACTTTTCAACACCAATCTGCAATACTTCTGCTATCTTAAATCTTGACATATTCTACAAAGAAGTTGGTATCACTTTGCTTAAACAACAAATAATTTTCAGCAAGATAAGCATGTATCACACACCAGATTAAAATCATATTTCTCATGAGCTTCAGGTGAGTAATCTGTCTGGTTCATGTCAAAAAATTTAAAATAAGAAACTGTGACACCGATCCAAAAATCCAACATTATAATAAGAAATGTTCAAAACCCATTATTTGGGTTTTTTTCTTTTTCCTTAAAAATGTGGCCTCATTATCAAGTCTTTTAAGCAAAACAGCATTCTTTCTAGGCATTCTTATCTAAAGTTGTACACTGTTTTCCAATACTCACTGTATTGTAGAGTTCCTCCAAACGAGATATGGTAAGAAAACGATGCATGTTCACTCCATGCTCTATTAACAGTTTCACAAAATCCACACGGTCCATCACTAAAGCATCCAGCATTGCCTGTTCCAAGGCACCAACCTCCACAAGGACGGAGATGAAGGAGAAGCTTAGAAAATTATTATCTTCTTTTGGAAATAAATAAAACATTCCTGAACAGCCTGATTTGTCTTTACATATATCTGAAGTGTGCACAGTACAAAAGAAAAACATGCTGGAGGAACCATCTATGTAAAAAAACCAACAGAGAGTGGGAGTAAAACTGAGTCTGCATAAACCCAAAGTCTGTAGAGACTTCTACAAATCTAACTTTACAACCAGACTCTGATAACACATTCCCTACTCTTTAATTCACTTCAGAAGCTAATGTATGATAATGCAGGAGGTGGAGGGAAGCCTTTCTTTTTTGATATATGACAAAAGCCATTTCAAGGTACTGTATTTCAAGATCTTTCTATAGAACTTGAAGTTCTTTAAAGCAGACTTCTTTTCAAACATGAGAGAGAATCTGCATTAGGATAAACTCTCTCAAAGACACCACAAAGCAGAGTTCTACCTACAAGTGTCCAAATGGTGAAAGCACTCTACTCACGGCACTTCCACAGAGCTCAGCAGGATTTCCACATGCAAAATAGCAAAGGAATTGGACATAGGAGGTTCACAAAAATCCATAGAAGGAATTCCTACAGAACACATATGCACAGAAAATGCAGTGGGGTGAGAAGAATTAGGATGCTGGCATACAAATGGGGCAGGTATGGGGCAGGTATGGGGCAGGTGCTAGTGTTAACTTGGCACCTGAAGTAAGTCCATTCCACATATACATTTATGTTTGGTGGAAATGATGTTAAAAAATTATCAATGTTACAGAATTGTCACATGTGAAAACTTGTGAACTGTTCCTGAATTGTCAGTGTTTCTTCCAGAAGTATTTCAAAGTGACAATTGTTCTATTAAATTTCCTCCAGCAGTCATTCCTTGCACTGGCCATGTGTCTAAAGAAGTTTAATCAGCCATCTGGTAACCATTAGGGTGACCTTATTTGTTGGAAAGTCCATTTGAGACTGAGCTGACATTTAAGCAGAAACATAGCTACAGCTGCTTACAATCTTCACCTTCTGAACATTTCGGACCAGAATTCTAAAAAGAAATTCCCACAAACAGTACATAAATGTACATGTTTCCTTAAAACACTTAGACAGAAAAATACTAATACTGCATGAACAATCACCTAGAAAATGGGTGCTTAAATATTTAACCCAAAATCTAAACACACAACCACAATAACCACACACAAACTATAGACTCTGACAAATGCAGGTCTGGCAGATCCCCTCAGTCAGATGGGTACTCCTCTTTTTAAGAAGGCAACTAAGCCAAAAGCAAATTTTAAAACTGTGTTTGAGCACTTTCTTTTTCCTTTTTTTTTTTTTCTTTTTTACGATGCATGGAGAACACTGTTATTTGAGACCTTTTTTCCTGCTTAGTAAAAAGAAAAACTTTCAGGAATATGTATCATTCTAATTTTTGCTTGGAGAAGCAGCAAGTGATGTAAGACGTGTTTATTACCAGCTCTTTAAATGTTCCTTGAAAGAGAGAACATACTCAGTATTTGACAATAACTTTTCATTCAAAATAGTACTGAATTATTGCACTGAAATAGAAGTGAACAGGTACATATATCTTTTTCAAATTTATCAGAAACGCAAGAGCTTGGGAGTATGCGGATTGTCAGTGAACCTGTAAGGCCAGAGGATGATCAAGGTATAAAAGAAATACGCAAGGAGATAAGGGTATTGCAGAAATTGTAAACTAATTCATTGCCACACTGCTCACTACAGAACGTGTCCTGGGTTCAGCTACAGCAGTCATTTTTTCTCCTTCTTAGTAGCTGGTGCAGTGCTGTGTTTTTGACTTTCAGCCTGGGAACAATGCTGATAACACCGATGTTTTTAGTTGTTGCTAAGTAATGTTTACTCTGACCAAGGACTTTCTCAGTCTCATGCTCTGCCAGGGAGGAGGGGAAGCCAGGAGGAAGCAGAGGCAGGACACCTGACCCAAACTGGCCAAAGGGCTATTCCATACCACAGCACGTCATGCCCAGTATCTAAACTGGGAGGAGTTACCCGGAAGGCCAGATCGCTGCTCGGGTCGAGCTGGGTATCGGTCGGCAGGTGGTGAGCGGTTGTGTCCTCTCCCCTTGTTATTCCTCTTATCATTATTATTGGTAGCAGCAGTGGTTTGTATTATACCTTAGTTACTGGAGTGCTGTTATCTCAACCCGTGGGAGTTACATTCCTTCGATTCTCCTCCCCATCCCTCCGGGAGTGGCGGGGGGAAGGAAGAGGTGGGGGGAGTGAGCAAGCGGCTGCGTGGTTCCAAGTTGCCGGCTGGGCTTAAACCACGACAACATGTTAGGAAAGGTCCTACATCAAAGCTGTTCTTTATGGCAGACAAATCTGAGGAAATATGTCAAATTGAAGTGTAGTAGAAAAGATTATAGAAGTCATCCATAAAGTGGTAGGAAATTGTCAGAACCATGTGATATGCAGCTAAGAGTTCCTGGGGAACTCAAGCACAGCTGAAATCTACCCTTCTAACAGCAGAACAGAAGATGGTAGAAAATACGCCAATTGTAAAAAGGAGAAAGGCGTGTACAAGATGTCAAAGTATGGCATATCAGTACAATTAGAACTTTGTACAAATATAAGGAAACTATAATAAAAATAGCAATAATAGCAACATGGGCAAATATAGTAGAGTAAGAGGAAGCAAGGCTATTATTTTGTAGTATGAAATCAGAACTCTACCAGAATTTTGGCAGGGACAATGAGGATAAGGCTGTCCAACTGATACAGTAAGTCTGTATCCCCACAAAAGCTTTTGATGATGGTTTTCTTGAAAGACGTCTAAGCAAATTAAGCTGTCGTAAGGCAAAGGTCCCTCAATTGTTTAATAACTGATAAAATGATAGGGAAGGAGATTATTAATAGTGGTGAGAGACCAGGAAAATCACAGATATTGACTAATGATTTGACAGTACTTGCTGATGATACAAAAATACTTATCATAATAAAACCAATTGGGAAGTGCAGGAAAATCTTACAATATGGGCTAATCAGCCAAAAAAGCATGTGAAATTCAATATTGGTAAATGTGAAATAACATGTATTTGGGAAACAACCCTACCTGCATGTCAGTCTTGAAATAACTCAGAAAAAATGTTAGTGGACGTATCTTCCAACAGCATAAATACAAGTTGAATATAAGTTGGAAACAAACAAGTCATACAGACTATTAGGATCTATAATTAGATGAATACAGAATAATCTATAAAACATTAGTATTTCACTAAATATCTCAGTGAAGAACACCTTGTCTTGAATACTGAGTACAGTGCTGGTCTGCCTATCCCAAAAGATTACTTCTAAGACATTAAAAAAGTACACAGAAGAACAAAAAAGGTTGTCAGAAATATGGAAAACCTGAACACTGAACAGATAATCACCTTGGGAAAGCCAGGAGAAGTGGGAAGACAACAACTATGCAATAGTTCTCTAAAATCTTCTGTGTTAAAGAGGTGGGGAGTAGGAAACTGTTATTTATTATTTTCCATACACAAGTGCAACATCTACATGTCTTTTAAATACCTCCAGGAATGGTGGCTCAACCACTTCCCCGGGCAGCCTGTTCTAACACTTGATCACCCTTTCAGTGAAGAAATTTCTCCTAATATCCAATCTGAACATCTCCTGCTGCAGCTTGAGGCCATTTCTTCTTGTCCTATCACTTGTTACTTGGGAGAAAAGACTAACACCCACCTCACTACAAACTACTTTCAAGTATTTGTAGAGAGTCGTAAGGCTTCCCTACGCCTCCACCAAGGAACAGAAGGCATCAGATTAAAATACAGCCACCAAAATTTAACACTCTCAGTTTAAGATCTCTTTACTTAGCAACTATTTCCCACAGCATTCTCTTGGAGAAACTGGCTGCTCATGGCTTGGACAGGCATCCTCTTCACTGTGTAAAAAACTGGGTTGTCCAGCTGTGAGTTGTGGTGAGTGGAGTTAAATCCAGTTGGCAGATGCCTGGGTGTTTCCCTGGATTCACTACTGGGGCCAGTTCTGTTTAATATCTTTATCAATGATCTGGACAAAGCAATCAAATGCACCCTAAGTAAGGTTGCAGATGACACCATGTTGGGTGGGAGCCTTGACCTGCTTGAGCAAAGGGAGGCTCTACAGAGGAATCTGGGAAGGCTGGACCAGTGGGCCAAGGCCAATGGTATGAGGTTCAACAAGGCAAAGTGCCCAGTCCTATACTTGGGTCACAACAACCCCATGCAATGCTACAGGCCTGGGGAAGAGTGGCTGGGAAGCTGCTTTGTGGGAAAGGACGTGGGAGTGCTGATTGACGGAGCTGAACATAAGCCACCTTGTGCCCAGGCAGCCAAGAAGGCCAACAGCATCCTGGCCTGTATCAGAAACAGCACGGCCAGCAGGGCCAGGGAAGTTATTGTCCCTTTGTACTCCACACTGGCGAGACCACACCTCCAATACTGTGTTCAGTTTTGGGCCCCTTGCTACAATGAAGATATACAGGTGCTGTAGCTCAGCCAAAGGAGACCAATGAAGCTGGTGAAGGGTCTAGAGAACAAGTCTTAATGAAGAGTGGCTAGGGGAATTAAGGTTGTTTAGCCTGGAGAAAAGAAGTCTACAAAACCCACCTGAAAGTTGGTTGTAGCAAGGTGGATGTCAGTCTCTTCTCCCAAGTAACAAGCAATATGACAGAGGAAGTGGCCTCAAGTTGCTCCAAGAGGCATTTAGATTGGATATTAGGAAAATTTTTTCCCCCATAAAGTTTGTCAAGCATTGGAACTGGCTGCTCAAGAAATTAGTTGAGTCGCCATTCCCGGATGTATTTAAAAGATGGGTAGATGTGGCACTCAGGGACATGGTTTAGCCAGCGTCAAGTTTACAGTTGGACTCAATGATCTTAAAAGGTCAAAGGTCTTTTCCAGCTTAAATGATTCTATGATTCTATTATCATATCACTTACACTCATTCACTGCTCAAGGCACCCTCCACACCTCATTTAAATGCAAAGGAATGATGCAGACTCCAGGCCTGCCAACAAATATTTTTAATCTGAAAAATGGCTAAAGCATAATGCTTTTATCTTAACTCTAGTAGGATAAAATCTGAAGTAATCAGATAGATGGTGTCCCCCTTTCTTTAATATTGTACAAAGATATGCTTCAATAAAGTTTGTCAACAGTTCACAGCAGAGTTGTTGAAGGCAAAAAAATAAATAAACACCAATAAAAAATGTACATGCTATAAAACAATGAAAGAAGACATTGGGAAAAATAAGTTTTCTTCAAAGGATCAAAGGATCAAAACATAACAGGGTATTGTAAAAAAAATCATAAAGGCAAATATATGCACACATTGTGTATACACATATCTTTTCCATATTCCGTAAGAACAAACATCCTGCTGGACAGGAATACTGTTAAGGTTATGCAGTTGAACACCCAAAAGTTATCAGATAATTCATCACCATGAATAATGGTACAATTATTCATTGCTCAGTTGCATACTATGTTTCCCTAGAGGGCTTAGTCTTATTCAATTCACAGAGTGAATAAGAATCCCCTAGCAGGAAGGTATTCAACATTTTGTTCTTACTTTATTGTTCCAGGTTTGGCACATCCCTTATTATTCACACGCTGTTCAAATCCTGAAAATGAAACCAGCAATTTCTTTCCTTACCTTTCAGTGGGCACCAGAAATCATTCATTTTTACCAGGTTTTGTGCAAGAACATGACATGATCACCTCAACTTCACAGATAGCGAACTGAGCCCAAAAAGGTAACAACAGTAACAAAAAAATCCTTTAATTAATGGTTGCCCAACTGTAGGCATCTCAGGCATAGTCCTCCATGTATTCAGCCTTATACACCACAGGAAAATACGGAATGATGATCAATAAATTCAGTTCTCTTGTTGTGTCAAATAACCAGCTATGATCACTGAAAAAAAATATACTCACTGCTCATTTTCTAAAATTTACATTGTAAAGAAGACAAGGCACTCAGGAATGGAAAAATCAGCCTTGAAATTCTTGGAATGGAAAGCTTTTAAAGTACTTCTGGGAGCATCAGATATAATTTCTTGAAGAAAACACTTAAAACAAATGGGAATAGTATGTGGAGAGGCACGCACCATTTTGTATCTATCATCTATAGAAATAATGTTATGTACATAAAAATTCACTTAGGGAGGGTTATACTTAAATACTGGATTACATCTGAAAACTTGAAAAGCACCAGTTATAGGTCTGTGTGTTGTTTCACACACATAAAACTTAATGAAGCACTAAATCATGGCTTGCCTTGATTTCAGCTATTCATAAGAAGCAATACATGAATTAATGCCTTACTGCCATGTTACCACAATTAACTCTACCATTTTTTTACCTGCTAACACCATAAAGGCCTGTGATTTCTGTATTTCTGTCTAGGGCTACGAAAACAGAGGCAACAGTTCTTTGGAGTTTACTCCTTTGGAGTACTCTGGGCTACAATGAAATATCCTTGACCACCAATAATTGTCAACACTGGCTTGATGAACACATATCCAGAAAGACCACTGAAACTACTTGGAAGAGCTAGCAGTGAAAACTTTCAGGAATCACCTTGTCTCTGGGGAAACAAATGTGTTTGACTTTTCACCTGATGCACTGTGCAGTTGACCTTTGCAACTTTAAGAATAACACCTCTCCAAAATAAAAGATGATTACTCCAGAAGACTGACTTCAAGCAACAAATCATGGAAAATTAGTCATCATAGTAAAGTAGAAAGATGCTATTAAAAATAAAAGGTAATAGTACCTTCCAGTGTTGTCCATAAACCAGTATGTGTTTCTTGGCAATATCTATCTGGTTCCAGGCCAGTGCCAAATCTAGCTGATCTGAAGCAGACATATTTGTACCTAGGAAACAAGTAAAGGACCTAGAAGTTTTCACACATTGATGTTACTCCTTTGTTTTGAAAATGCATGTATTTTCAGATAGGTACCTTTCAAGAGTGCAGTCAGAATTGCCAAATCAATGTCCTGCTGATCTTCTGACAGCGCATCAAATATGGTTATCTGTTAGAATTGCAGAAGTATACTATTTGAGGTGAGGCAGAGAAGTCTGTAGTTATTTCTTCTTGGTAAGGGCTGTGATAGATTAAATCATACACATTTCAACACAAACAATGGCAAAGGCCCAGACATGATTTTCCTTTGTTTCAGACAGAAAATGCACCATTTTGCTTTTTAATGCAATGGCATCCCAGGGAAACTGGAATCAACTTGCTCCATAGCGAATTCAGTCTACTTGCTTTTGACTAGCCTTTAAATGAGAAATGTAAAAATGCAATATGGCTGATACCTACTCAGTATTAAACTAAAAAGCAGACACTCAAAGTGAAACAAAAGAAAAACAAAACAAAAAACCAACCAAACAAACAAGAATAAAAACATACTGGGTAGTTTCTATTTTAGTGATTATTGCTGCAATTGTCATTACTCCCATAGCAAATACTTGGTACTCCATCATATTTGAACATGTGATTTCCCTAGTGGACTAGGGAAATTCCCAGTGAATGGAAAAGGGAAAAAATAACCCCCTTTTTCAGAAAGGCTAAAAAGGAAGACCAGGGAACTATAGGCCAGACAGTCTCATCCCTGTGTCCATCAAAAGAAGCATGGCCAACGGGTAGACAGAAGTGATTTTTACTCCACCCTTTACTCCACTCTTGTGAGACCCCTTGGAGTACCATGTTTGGTTCTCAGGCCCCCAACATAAGAAGGACATGGACCTTTTCAAGAAAGTCCAGAGGAAGGCCACAAGGATGATGAGAAGTCTGGAGCACCTCTCCTGTAAGGACAGGCTGAGAGAGCTGGGGTTTTGTTTAGCCTGGAGAAAAGAAGGCTCCAGGAAGACCTTCTAAAAGCCTTTTAATACTTAAAGTGGGCTACAGCAAAGATGCGGAGGGACTCTTTATCAGAGATTGTAGTGACAGGATGAAGGCAAGGGGAAAAACGAAGGAGTGAGCGAGTGGCTGCATGGTTCTGAGTTACCGGCTGGGCTTAAACCATGACAGAAGGGTAATGGTTTTAACTGAAAGAGGGTAGATTTAGACTAGATAGTAGAAAGAAATTCTTTGCTGTGAGGGTGGTGAGGCACTGGAACAGGCTGCCCAGAGAAGTTGCAGATGCCTCCTCTGGGGCAGTGTTCAAGCCCAGGCTGGATGGGGCTTTGAGCAACCTGGTCTAGTGGGAGTTTTCCCTGTCCATGGCAGGGGGTTGGAACTAGATGATCTTTAAAGTCCTTCCAACACAAACCATTCTATGATTCTATAATTCAACTTGCAAATGAGCACATGAGCTGCTAAACATGCCAGCACATTTCAAAAGTACACTTTAATACTCAGAGACAAATCTTAGTACAATTCTGTTACGAGTAGAAGAATGGACAGAAACATTTTTAATTTACGAATAAGACACTAATAAAGAAGGGGGGAAAAGTAGGAATTACTTTATCTTTCCTGTGATACAAAGATGTCTGACTTTTTAGTAAAGTTAGAAAGGCTCTCATTTCATAAGCAACCACTGAGATTTGAAAAGTTAATTAAACAGGCTATGTGGAGCTACTTGATATATAAATAAGCACAGACACCTTTGCATAATCTTATTTTAGAGATAACATCATTACTTCTACAACTGCTGTGCCCATGCCAATCTACCACAGAAAGAGCTAAAAGGGAATAGGGTAACAGCAAATGAAGACATCCTGAATTCAGAGCATGAACCCCACTCACAGAGTCTCTGTGCTCCATGCATTCCATCAAAATGTGAAACAGATGACTGGATTGTTTCTGTCCCAAGCTAAATGTGTTTTGAATCATCACTAAGACTTCCTCCTTTACTTGAGGGCGCAGCTCCCTGAAAAACAGATATACAAGCAAGAAAAAGTATATTTCTGGCTAATTCTTACCAGCCCAAATGACACTTCAGCAAAAGATGAAACTTGTGTTAAGTAGGCATTACTTCTGACCATATATATATACAGACTATTGGAAACAGACCAAATTAAAAACTTAACAATTCTCACAGGATTGTCTGTAAATACAGAGCTAAAAATCACCAGAAGTTTAGCAAACTTTTTCTTTTATTCAATAATCATACAGGGATAATATTAAATTCCTCATTGTTCATTAGGTTTCACACTTCTCCCATCTTTTTTCCCCTCATTTATATTCCTGCTAACCGTTTCATGCATATTTACATTTCTTTTGAAATGGCAGGAATTTTTCTTAAAGGTCAAAAATGCCAAAGAAAAAGCAAGAGAAGAAAAAAGTTCTCAAAAGAACACACTAGAGAAATATAACACCCCGAGAATAATGTTTAGAAAAGATAATAAATAAACAATTAGGATATAATGTTTATTAAATTGTTCTTTTTCTTTAATTGGAACAAAACCAGACCACCTTTTTAAGATTTGGTTCTTTATTTTAACAGCCCTTTTGACTTTGAAAACTTTTCCCAAAAATATTCATTGGCTATACAAATATATGCATATTTGTTTCCAGTTTGGATATAAAATTTTCGTCAGGGTGGGTTTAACAGAGTGCAGCTGTGACAGCATAAAGGGTTACACCTAGATGAATGAGTATGACAAATCAGGGTTACCATTGAGTAAACCAAAGCCAAAGTCAAGGAACCTTATACCTTCTCCTTCCTCAACCTGAGGGTCCTACAGCAACTAACCTCAGCCCTAGTCCCAAAAGCTTTGTGCAACCCAAATTCAAATCCACTTATAGAATACTGATGGCAGGAGAAAGGATTGAGTCAAAACCCAAGCAGAGCCTCTGGGGTGACCCAACAGTATCCCTTACCAAAGGTGAAAACATAACAACTCAAAATGGCCAGATGCAGGGTTTTTTCCCTCTTAAAAAAAAAATTAAAAAGCACCATATTAAATTGGGCAGAATAATCCTTTCAGCACTAGCTTGAGAGTTTGAGACAGGGAAGGAAGAAACTGCTCTCGCTTCACAGAAGTAAAATCCAGCAAAAGACCATGGCAGGGTCATTACCAAAAGATAAGAAATTATCTCAGAGGTTTTGAGACAGGCATTTCCAGGTCCCTCCCAATACAACAGTCGAAGGAGGAGGAGCATTATGCCCCATATCTCACCCCACGTGTTTGTGGGTTCGTTTGTTTGTTTATTAATTAATTAATTAATTTATTTATTTATGTATACTACTCACCCTGTATCACCTGTGTGTTTGTGGGTAAAAGCCAGGATATCTGCAGCTCTGCCAGTGCCCTCATAGACCACCACAGGGACAGCTGGGCTGGCCCTCACGTACTCCCACACCATTAGGATCACACTGGGGCCTCCTTCCACCACCAACCCAACTACGGGTACACCTTGGCCCATTCCTGTTTCGAAACACACCTAACCAGTTACAAACAGGTCTAAGTCACACAAAAAAGTCAGAATATCTGGTAAGTAAATACTTATGAAGGAGTCTCACACATGGTTCAATGGAGAGGAAATCATGCCTTCAACATCTCTAATTTGACTTACACTTTTTAAGATTTTCACAGAACTTCTGCAACTAGATCAAAAAGGCCATGAAAACCTCCTGATAAAATTCTAAGCATCCTTAGCACTAGAAAGAGGAAACATCCTTCAGAATATCAATCTGTCCTTTCCAATAGCTCTCACATGCAAGGACATCGACAGCGCTTGAAATGTGGTCAATATCCATTTATTTACCTATACACATAGAAAAGTAATCAGAAGTACTCACTTGTGTGTATTTTCTGAAGTGATATGTACTTCTCTAAATTCCTCCTGAGCATCATCTCATTCCCATACTTGCCTACTGTCCCATCATCTGCCATTAGAAAATGAGAGTGCATGCTGTTGAGGGTACTTAGCTTGCTGAGTGGATTACCAAGAGTCTGGTACAGGCAAACTACCTAAGAAAACCAAAATAAAAAGATCTTCAAAGAAACCAACAAAATGTCACCATTTCATGTATTTCTTCACCATACTGTGATCTGAAAGCCTCCATCACACTTTTTGCTGCTCTTCTCGAACACGGGTTTTCATTTGATTATTAATAGCAACAAAGCCATTATTAGTACTACAAAAAGCATTTCTCAATAGGCTTGCAGTCCTTGTCAGAGTCACTGCCTGCCCTTCTTTGCAACAGTTGAAACACAGTGGCATATTTTCAGTGAATGTATTCCCATTAAAAACATGTAAGCTATCATTTATTTGGAATGTTTTCACCATACTTGTCAAGTGTTTTTAGAAAGTTATGTAGATTGTGTCACATTGGCAGTCACATAAAGTTCTAGTTTATGAATAAAAATCATGCATATTAATAGCCTATTTGTGTATAGCATTAACCTGATTGCTCATCCTGAATTACATGAATATAGAAATACATCATTTGCAACCTCAAGAGAATTGCTTAATTAATTACAAAATTTCAATAATGAATGGAAATTTCCTGTAAGAAGAGAAATATTTTAAAACTATTCATTTACATACAAAAGGCAAAATACAGTGCCTCAACATGCCACAGAATTCTACTGCTGAGAAAAATGTAAATCTAGTCTAAAATTTAAACCTGTTACTGAAGAAAAATATCAAACTAGTGAAACGAAGCCAGAAGAAAATAAAGTATGCAGGAAAGCTATAACATCCCCTGAACATGAAGGCTTTTATTATGAAACTGTGTCCAACTCACATCTTTTCCAATGAGATCACTCTGGTTCTCAATGACACCCCATGGAGGAATCCCAACAGCAAAGATCTTTCTCAGGTGGGGTGAAGCACGGCCTTTCAATGCGTCCCCCACATGCTTGGACACTCCTAAGAAGATAATTAAATCATCATTTTCTTCTACATTTGGAGACCTGCTAAAGGACACCAGTTAAAGGGTTTCCCATAATACAATTTATTCTGTGGTTATGTTTTAACCAGAAACAAATCATCCCACTCAACTTGTATATGTGATGTGCACTGCAGAAATTGTAAGGCTCAGATGTAATGCACCACTGCTTCAAACTCAACACATATTTATAATTAATAATATTCATATATATTGCTCATGGTGGTTTATACCTCCATAAAACTTTATCATTAACACAAATTCACAGGGCAGTTTTCCTGTAAGGTCACCATGTTGAATAAAAGCTAAAGAAGGAAAAACGGTTTCATTTCCATGACTTACTGACCCCCATGGATATTGATAGTAGTTTATAGGGAATTTCATAGATGAATACGGTAATATATGAATTATCCTAATTCAAAACTTTATTAACTATAAAACTTGAGTCAAATTTAGATTTGAAAACTGTTTCAAAAACATCAATCACAGTCCTCAGAGCCTAAATATTTCAATGAAGCACATAAAATTGACTGCAAGTAAGTTGTGGTTATCTGCTATCAGTGTTTCATGTTACATGCACAGTACTCTGCTCTATAATAAAAATTATTAAAATCTAAAAATAAAAATAATAAAAATATAAAAACAATAAAATATTAAAACCAGAATGCCTCTCAACAGCAGAGGAACATGATGTCACTCTTTGAACTATGTACTGTTCTTAAAACAAACTCTTAATTTTGTGCTAAAATACCACCAATTACCAAACCATTTAATTACATTTGCCCTAAACTCACATGCTTGTATGCAGAGAAAAAACACCAGAGGAAGCCTGAAACAAAGGAAAATAATTACACTACCACTGTTGATGCCTTCTGTAATGATCCAAGCTCCTGTAGTCTCAGCAGCCTTCACCAATCCTTTGCAGAAAACCTGTTTAATCTTTGAGGGAAGCTTGAAGTTTTGAATGCCTCCATGAACAGAGATCACTAGCTTTGGCAACTCCATCTGCCATTCCTTAACCATCAGGTGCATCAGCTGTTCCAAACTGCTGTCATAAGAGAGCCTAATGTACTGAAGAAATAATAATAGGTAAAATAACCATGCTTTAAATACCCCAAAAGAAGAAACTGCAATATCTTACATCTTAGAAAGTTCTCAGCGTTAATTTATTTAAGATTTTGTGCAAGATTAGAACTTTCACAATACCACTAATATGATAGCACAAAAATACATCAGTGAGAAATACAGACAGCAAGACAGACTATGCTTAATTGCAATGAAGTTCAATATAAAAATATAAATTACACACACTGTAACCTGACTTACTTTTAGATTCCCCCTGCTCTCTTAAGGCAAAATATCTGATATTCACCCGAAATCACTTTTTGCCTTTCTTGTGCTAAAATTATAAAAAAGAAGTCTGTCATATAAACCCGATCTGTTACCTTGGCATGGTAAGTGTGATCTCCATCTTGAAAATTGATTGTACCAAATGCATCTGTTGGACTTGTCTTCGTGTGGATTTGCACAGACCATTCTCCACCATCTTTCTGTGGGGCAGCCTGATAAACAGGCCAGCTACAGTCAACTCCTGGGTGATCTCCAATCAGCCGTCCACAGCAACATCTCACATTAAAAATAAAACAATTATTTTACATCAAACACACATGTAACTCTACGGTCTTCATCAGAATAGGCCAAAAAGCTTTGTGCAAAGAAGGATATTATAGCTTTCTGACATGGAATGTAATAAAAATTAACTCAGCTGAAAAAATCTCAACAATGGTAAAATGACGTGGCATTAAATCATAAGTAGGTTTTACTGGATGCAGAATTTGTTCTCTGTTTGAGGAACACTAATAATGGTTGTGGGGTTTGGACTAGATAATCTTCAAAGGTCCCTTCCGACCCAAAACTCGCTGTGATTTTGTGTGATTCTGTAACAGCTTGAGAGTCCCATGTAGCAATTCTGACCTGCAGCTCAGATTTATAGCAATGCAGCTCAGATTTACTGGTCTCATATATAACATTTCAGATGAATATCATAGAACACTAAGTTTCACACTGGTTATTACCACAGGTTATACTAGGTACAGAAGAAAGATCATTTATCAGGAGGAGCGGAGCAACCCCCAGTCTAGAGAAAACTTCAGGGTGACCTATATACTAACTAACCCTTAAGATGCCAGCAGAGTAAATATAAAAAATAAATGGGCTGAAGTGCAATGTTAAGAGAAATATAGCAGAAGCTCAGTTAACATTGAAGGTTTGCAACTGAATAAATAACTCAAATTCCAAATTCAATTGGTATTACTGCCAGGCTTTGACGTGCTCCAGTCTCTACTACAGGATTAACTTCAATGTAATTTATAGTGACATCTGACAGTCCAGGTTTCCTTTAGACATTTCAGAAGTTAACATAGCCTTGGAAATGGAGATGAATTACTCCCTTAAACTCTTTTAAGTTACCAAATGGCCTCCAACAACTCAAACTCAATGATTGTGTTCAGACTCAGATGTATTACTTGTGCATCTAGGGGCAGGATAAAAGTAAACATCTGCAAAATCCTGAAGAGATTCACAGTTTTGAATTACATTCAGAAAGAGAGAGAGTTTTCTATGAAGATGAGTGAGAGCTAACTGGTGAAAGAGAAATAAATTTAAAATAACAAGCAAACAAAAACAACCCCAAAACAACCTTAAGTAAAGTAAGGAAGGGACCTGCTTTAGAAAGGCACTTTTTGATACACAGAAACCATGAGGTTATGTTTTGATACACAGAAACCTTTTGAAGTTTAACCAAGCCAAGAGCAAGGTCCTACACCTGGGTCGGGGCAATCTCAGGCACAGCTACAGGTTGGGTGGAGGAGAGATTCAGAGCAGCTCTGTGGAGAAGGACTTGGGGGTGTTGGTTGATGAGAAGCTGAACATGAGCCGATTTCAGTGTGTGCTTGCAGCCCAGAAACCAACCGTATCCTGGGCTGCATCAAAAGGAGTGTGACCAGCAGGTCAAAGGAGGTGATCCTGCCCCTCTACTCTGCTCTTGTGAGACCTCACCTGGAGTACTGTGTACAGTTGTGGTGTCCTCAACATAAAAAGGACATGGAGCTGTTGGAGCAAGTCCAGAGGAGGGTCACAAGGATGACCAGGGGGCTGGAGCACCTCCCTTATGAAGACAAGCTGAGAAAGTCGGGGCTGTTCAGCCTGGAGAAGAGAAGGCTGCGTGGAGACCTCATAGAAGCCTTCCAGTATCTGAAAGGGGCCTATAAGGATTCTGGGGAGGGACTCTTCATTAGGGACTGTAGTGGTAGGACAAGGGGTAACAGCTTCAAACTAAAACAGGGGAAGTTTAGATTAGATCTAAGGAAGAAGTTCTCTACTGTGAGGGTGGTGAGGCAGTGAGTTGGGTTGCCCAAGGAAGTTGTGAATGCCCAAGGAAGTTGTGAATGCTCCATCCCTGGTGGTGTTCAAGGCCAGGTTGAACTGAGCCTTGGGCAACATAGCTTAGTGTGAGGTGTCCCTGCTCATGGCAGGGGGGGGGGGACTAGATGATCTTAAGGTCCTTTCCAACCCAAACCATTCTATGATTCTATGTTTGCACTCCAGTTTTTCAGCACAGGCAATTTACAGTTGATCCAATGCTCTGCAAAAGCAGACTGGAGAAGAATCCCACACTTTTGGGGAATTAATAACTCAAACAATGTTACTCGGTGGACAATTAAAAGAGTTGTAGAAGACTAGCACTACAGAAAAGAGTTGAGGTCTACTGTCACATGTATGATGATGGTTAGCTAGAAGTCAGAAGGCAATAGGGACTACAAAAAATGCCCACATTTTTGTAAAAATAATTCAACATGGATTAGCTAACCTGCAACACCTACACCTTTTCCCTAGCTAAGACAAATAGAAAGATATCCCAGAAATCCAGGGATTTGCCAGAAAGAAGTCAGGCATGTTCTCACAACTGAACCCTATAAAAACAGAGGAAAAGATCTAGCCCAGGGGTTAGATCGTTGTAGTGGGGGGAAGCCTCACAGAGGGGTTTTATTGCCAAGCTACTCTAACCAGAAATATTGCCCAGTCAGGCTCACTGCATGACTCCACAACTATTTGCACTGTGGTAGTGGAAGAAAAAAACCCAAAAAAACCAAAAAAACCCCAAACCCAATAGAGATTAGGAGAGGGGGCATAGAAACTGCTGAAATAAACTATTAATCTACGGACGCCATTCGGATGACCCCAAAAGCAAAACTCACTGTAATTTTGCCTCCTTGTAGGCTAACCAAGACAAGCAGGTCAAGGCTCATTTACTAAACAAAAAGTATCCAAGCTGGACCAAGCCACATTATATCACTTCCAAATGTACAATTAAATTACTTCTGCAGAAGACAGTGAGGGGTCAACACAAACAGGAGATCATTGCTGATGCTGTGTTGTAAAATAACATGCAGACCAAGAATCCACACTCAAGAGTGCTATAGAAATGCATCTAAACTAGAAGAGTTTCAGAGCAATGTAGCTGCAAAACAGATAGCACAAGGGATGCAGATTTGAGTAAAATATGTCCACGGAGAGGATAAGGCTAGTGACCATACTTGTTTATTACTCTCCCTGCATACGTCAAAGGAAGGACCAGAAGAAAGAGATAGGTTTGACTTTATTATTGGTCTTCAGAGGACAAATTTCTCTACAGCATCCTTGGTCCATTTTTTTTTTTTTTCTGCTGGCTTTTTAGGGAGAATCCAAAAAAGGGTGAAAGACAGCAAATGTCAGAAAAAATCTGATCTTTAGATGAAAGATTAGAAAAAATCAAAGATACCCTATTGTCTTTTGGCCCTGAAAACTCCTTGTGGTCATTGCACTGCTCCTGGAGTGCTCTCACAATAACAAGGCCTTTCATCTGGTTTGATTCCAAAAGACAGAGAACCAATACCAGTCACAGCTAAATACTACATTACCTTGCATTACTCTCATACCACATTACACTGCCTGAATCAAAGCAGACATCCTGTGGACAGGAACTAATCATCTGACAAGACAAATCAGTGCAGTAACCTTGAAGCTGAGAAGCTTAAGGAACACTAAACTGGTTTACTAATTAACATCATTTGTACTACATATTTATCGTTTACATATAAATACAATCAGACATGAGCTACATTCAGAATAGCTCAGTTACGCTGAGCAGGCAGTGGAAGAAACTGCACATGGGCATATGAAAGGTGTGCAAGGTACACACAGCTGGTTTTACCTCACAGACTTTCACAGCAAGACGTGTGAACTCAGAAGGATTGGTATTTCCCAAATAGATTATGATCTGCTCCAAGCTGGCATGCTCTCTCTCTCTTACAGTCTAGCAGGAAAAAAAGGAATCCTGACCTACCTGGGAGGTCAAAAGCCAAGACTAAGAGATTCCCAGCAAAGCTGAGGAAACCAAAGCAGAACATTACATACAGCTGTTGGGACTGTTTTCTGTAAAGTTTCATGCTGTATGGATAGTTGAAGAGCTCAAGGAGGAGAGAAGCTACAAGCCAGGGATGATGGTTGAGTCAGGACTGCTCAGGAGCACTTGACCCACACACACCCCTGGGACC